GGTCCTTCCCACCCAGACTCAGATTCCTAGCTTTCCTGRGAATGTTGAAGGTCAGGCCCACTGGACCTCTGTTCCCGCCTGGTAGTGGTTAGCTAGAGTTCAGGAGTGGCTTCCCTCATGGGTGGGCACCGTCCCATCTCATTTTACACTTACCTCGTGGCCCCCCAACCCACTGAATTGCAGTGTCTGTTCTGGAGATGAGTTCTTGGGAAATTTATATGGCTACAGGTGAGATCTGCAGCCCTTTCCAGAAGAGGAGCTATGACCACCACTGTTGTGTRTAGATGTCCTAGCATTCTGGGTGAAAATTCTGAATTCCTCTTTTATAGGAATGTCACAGAGCRTACCTTTTGACCCAGTGCCTTTCCTAGGAAAATGCACCTTTTCTAGGTAAGAGACTACAAAGTCTTACAGGTTAAATACTTTCAGCAAGTATTTATTGGTGGCCTATGGAGCTAGGCCTGGTGCTCAAGGATGCCATCCTCGTGCCTCTGCCCTTGACAGGGAATTGACTCCTGGTCCCCACTTGACTTTTACTGATAGTCCCATGGTTAATTCCAACAAGGATAGAGTGAATGCACACCAAGAGTGTATATGAGAGTCAGGGATGGCATGAATGTGTCTGCGATTTTTAAAAAATACTTATGAATCCTGACAGAGCTTTCAGAAGGGAGTTTTCTGGATTTTTGTGTTTGCTGACTAGATTGAGGTCATCCTAATTCTGTGTGAATTCAACTTACATAAATAGCCACTGGTGGGAAATGTGTTGTCTTTTCAGTTATTTGCTTTACTTTTCTTTTTGGTGAATGTTAGGATTGATGTTAACAAATGGAGCAGACACTTTAAAAAAGTCAGTTGCACCCTGTGTGGACCACACAGCTACCCCGTGGATCGCAGCCCAAGAAGATGACAGCTCGTGAGGTCAATGTATTGACYCGCTGAACTGGTCAGACATTAGAAGCTTGTCCCTTTTTTATTGGGTTCCTGTTTTATAAACCCTGTCCCCTTTGTTGCATCTGTTAAATTAAACATTGTATTGAGGACATAGGGATATTTGATAAAGATTTTTGGTAAATCTTCAAACTTAAAGTCTGGCATCAAGAATCAGTCCTTKGTACCCCAAGAATGCATTTTGCAACGTGTGTTCTTCCCCTTTGTTTCTAACAATTACAGCCCCCTGATGGCACCTCTGGAGCAGATGCAGGAGGAAGGTTGAGAATTGCAGGCCTTACACAGTGAGGGGCTCCACATGGTGATGCTGGGGCTGATKTACTGGCCACTGGAAGCCGTTTGTTCCTATCTCTGAGACTTTCTGTTCTCTGTGGATTTTCTTCCAATAAATCTGTTCATGGAATGCCCCTCTTGTAGCCATTTATGTTAAAACAAATAACATAAATGGTCAAAAAGAGACTGAGCACACTCCTGTAGTCCCAGCAGCTCAGGAGGCTGAGGCAGGAGGATCAGGGCAGTTCAAAGCGAGCCTTAGAAACTGTGAGGCACTCTGCAACTCAGTGAGACCCTGTCTCTAAACAAAATACAAAAYAGGGCTGGGGATGTGGCTCAGTGGTCGAGTGTCCTGTCCCCCCACCCCCTCCAMAAAAAGAGAGACTGACGTGGACATACCATCCCTGTCTCAGTACCACTTCAGGGGTAGAACTTGGTGTTGGGTGAACTATGTACAGCATGTTTACACTTTCCTAGGTGTTGTCTGTGTGTCTGTCACACAGGATTCTCTTGGAGCGTGAGTTCTGATAGCTAAACAACAACAGAAGGTGTCTGACAAGATAAGGGTGGGAAGCACTGCTCATTGTACTTYCTGGTGAAAAGTTTTTACACCCCTGCCCCCACCCCCAGCATTTCAGAGGTAGGCTGAGTGTTGTTCCTGTTTGTCCCTGGAGCTGAAGCTGATTTTATGAGATGACGGAAAAGTGCGTGTGTTAACTCCAACATCATTGGACTCGGAGAATCCAATCTCTGGATTTGTGTTCTCTGAAAACCTAATGTTAAATTTCTTTGAATTATTAATTTCTAGTAATTTTGAAACAAGCATTAAAATCGTGATGAAAATAAGTAGATTAGGAATTAGTAATTTCTCAACTGAACCTGACTGAATGTAAGGTTATTTCAACACACACACACACACACACACACACACACGCTCACACGCCCACAGTCACACACAAATTCAGAGTATAAGTTCGTTTTGACTACACAACATTGTCTATGCTAGCATGCAGTAAAAGGGCACTGAGGGACCCTGAGAACCTTGTAGTGACCCATGAGGGTAATTTATTGTCTTAATGATACTGACATTATTTACTTATTATTATTATTTTTTTTTATTTGCAATGATTGTGCAAAAACAAAGGTGGAGAAAATTCCTGGCCTTTAGCAGGAGTCAAGGTGGTAGCAGCAAACTGTGCTAGGAGTCATTGCATTAGTCATACATTCAATGTAAAAATAAAATGTCAGTTTCACGTGAGACTGTCTTAGTGGAGCAGTAAAAATGATTTTGTTAGATCTTGAACCTTGAGGGCATATCTTAATATACTGTGCCATGAAATGGGAAGTACCTGGAAAGCACCTTTGCATTTCCAGGGACAAGGATTGGTTTACCTTGAGAAAAAGGTGTAGTAGATAGGGATACTGTGTTCCAGGGATAGAAGGCACTGCAAAGAAAACTTGAACTTCATTCTTTATTGATGGTGGCACATTGATGGTGTGATGGACACTGTTTTGAGTATGTTGTGGATAGAGCTCATGGATAAGTATGTTAGAMATATTAGAAGTCGGGGGTTTTCATCATGGGGAAAGGTGACACTAACGTGGGATTAGGGGAGGCAAGGAAGAATCTTGTTCCACTTGATGTGAGTTCAAGGTGTCACTGTGTTATTGTGGTTTAAGGCATTTAAAATACCTTTATTTGTCCAGTCAAAAAGCCTAGAAGCAATGTCTGAATATATAGAGCATAACCAAACTGTTCCTCCTCCGTTACCCACAGAAACAGATCACTTGTGAGCCCCAAATGAGTGAGGATTTCTTCCCACAGGTCAGCCAGCAGTTGTGTCCTTAAATTTAATTCAGTTTTGACTCTCTTACCTGGAGATAGCCAGACCCCACAGGTTGAGCCCCCGTTTCCAATGTTAGTTGCAAGTGTGGGCCTCCACAACTTCTGACCACTGGGCTACCAGTTGGGGTTCCCCTACTCCTGTCCTTGGGTTTGATTTGCTAGAGCTCTTCAAAGGACTCAGGGAAATACCTTCTATGGCAACTGGTTTATTACTGGGTGTTTTAAAGGGCAYAAGGAATAACCGGATGAAGAGATACTTGGGGTGAAGGGTCTGCAGCATGGGAGCCTCCCTTTCTGAGTAGTTGGGGAGCACCATCCTCCCTGCACATGGACGAGCCCTTGCTCACCTTCCTGTACGTCGTGAGCTCAGCTATCCAGAGCCCTCTGAACCCTTCTCATTTGAAGTTTTCATTGCATAATTTGAAAGGAGGGCAGTTGGGTAGGATGAATATGAAGCAAGATTAGCCCTGGGTAGGTAATTGCTGGGGAGTCATCATGTGTGTTCATTATGTTACTCCACTGACTTTTGAAATATATTTGGAAGCCCTTATGATTACACTTTTTAAAAATACTAGTTAAGTAGGATAACTTGACAGTTTGTGCATCTCGATGTGATTGCACTGAGAAGTATGCCTCACTTTGGCAGAATTGTTGCCAAAAATATTTAACCTGAATCTCATCTAAGGAAACAATCACAGAAGCTCAGGATGCATGCCAGTCCCCCAGGCAGTTGTCCTAGGTTATCCAAAAAGGGTCAGTGTTGGGAAAAACAAAAAAGTCATATAAAACAAATAGTATACACGAGCCTTGCTTGAGAGGATTTCCCCCACCCCCACGCACATACACACACACACAAAAGTCTTAAATTTTTTTTTTGGGGGGGGGACAGTGCCAGACATTAAAATTAAATAATTATAGCAAATTATATTACTGAATTAATGTCAATCATTTTAGGTTTGGTTGTGGTTTTGTGGTTATCCAGGAGGATGTTCTTATCCTGGAGAGATGTACATTGAAGTATTTTATAGCAAATTAGTATGTCTGTAAATTGCTTTCTTGGGTGGGTGTACATGGATTCGGTTGGCTTCTATTAAACTGCTGTTTTCTGAGGGCGAAAACATCAGCAAATGCCTATAATTCAATCTAACGTTTATTAAAAGAGAAAGAAAGCAAAGGTGAAGACAAATGGTGTTACCAGGTGAGGAATCTACAGGTGATTTCTGATTTTTTTTTTTCACTTTTCTGTTGTTTGAACTTTTTAAGGGYTGAGAGAAAAAATAGGTAATATACAAAAATGAATTCCCAGCTAATACATATTTGTTAGATCAAATGTGCTGACAACATTCTCTCTGGGAATAATTGCCCCTAATGGCATTTAAATTCTCTTGGAATTAATTCCACGATTGCTTAAATTAGTTTTGAGTATAAAAGAGGGGGAAAGCTACTTGTTTCATTATATGAACTTTCATATCTCAGAGTCAACACATAACAACAGAGAAATAAAAACCCCATAGGTAGAAATATTTAAGAAAAGAAGAGCTTAATGACACTCGATGGAGTTTTTTTTTTTTTACATGAATGACATTTAAGGACAAATCCATTGTCAGAGGAAAAAGAGGTCATTGGTTGGTTTCCAGAAACTGATGCCTATTTTTTCCTYCCTCCCTCCTTCTTTCATCTAGGTTTATCCTTAATATTCCTGTAAAATAGGCTGTGTATCTAGAACTGGAAAAAATTTTACTCTCCCCCCAGCACCTTTGCTATAAGGTCTTGTCTTAAGCACCTTTTGCCCAGGGTTCCTGGGGTCTCCTGGGCAACTGTGGCAGCGTGATGAAATCATATGGTAGTTCCTGCTCTGCTTTAGAGAATTTGCCTAAGTGATTACAACAGCCTCCGTTTTATCCTTCTTCTCTTTTTGAATCCAAAACAGATCCCTAAAGAAGTGGCTGACATCTTTAACGCCCCCAGTGATGATGAAGAGTTCKTTGGTTTCCGAGATGATGTTCCCATGGAAACTCTGTCATCAGAGGAGAGCTGTGATAGTTTTGACTCTCTGGAGCCTGGGAAGCAGGTAGGGATTCTAGCCGGGAGGGCAGGTGTGTTCGTCTGGAAGCCCGGATCTTGGTTTGGATGCTCTTTTATTCCAGTGTTCTGAGCTTGGTGATAGGAGTTAGTAGATGAGTGCTGTATTTTAGAGGTACTGTGCCTTTCATGCTCAAGACACTGGTGGGAGCACTTTGCTCACATGTTGGTATTTTATTCCTATGTACTCTACCTATCTCTCTCCACGCACATGCACACACACTTTTTTTTTTTTTTTTTTTTTTTTTAAATAAAGGGACCTCACATGAGCAAATCCATTTCCTTTGCTACCTCTGGCCTGTTACCTGTGGTGAGGCTGCATTCAGAGTCCTCCCACGTGGCTGGCAGGGGACAGCCAGCCCTGCCAGTGCAAGGAGGCGCGTGGAATGTGCCGTTAGTATGAGACAATTGCCTCACTCTGGTCCTRCAGCGATATTCTATCAGCACCTCCTGCCTGGAACTGCTGGGGAGAGTCTTATGCCTTCTTTAATTACTTTGCTCTGTAGCAAACACAAGTTACAGTCCTCTGAGAGTGAGATTCCTGGAGGTTTATATTGTGCCAATAGAATGGCCCATCAGAATCTCTAGCCTTCAGTGGCATTTTCTTCTGTGTTCATCGTGACACAAAATTCTTCCTTCTCCTCCACTGTGGCCTCTTCTAAATGGCTGTAAATTCAACACACCTTGCTTCAGCTGGGTCCCTCCAGGAAGGGAAACAGCCGGTGCTACCTGCAAGAGAGCCTGCTTCCCGACTTGGGTGACTGTGTGTGTTCTGGCCTCAGTGGGAGCTGTGCTGTCTGGGGTCAACGGGCCTTTCTGGTCACTGTGATCCTTGTCTTATTTGATGTCACTATAACATTGGATCCCTCTAGCTGCCTCCTTCTACTCTTGGRTTTCTTCATCTGTTATACCGTTGGCTTTTTGTTTTCAGTTCTTCTTTGTCCCTAAATGTGGGTTCTCTAAGAGTTCGTCCTCGGATCTTTTCACCCCTCTGGATCCTAGCAATGGGCAGTCCTGCTTGCAGCTGTCACCATGTTCTTCACATGCAGTGTGGCTTCTCTCTCCAGCCCCAGGTGGACAGCCAGTTGGACCGCTCTTAGTTGTTCAAGGGACAGCTGAAACTCAAAATTTTCCCTCCTCTGCTTGTCTGTCTGGCTTTCCCATTTGCCCATCTTTATCTGCATCTGTTGTTCTTGACACCCTTCCCCCCTCGCCCCTCCCCACCTGCTCCCATCCAGGAGTTAATTTGGAAACTTCTGCCGTGTTCTCATATCTGTCCCTTCCCTTCTCTTCCCTCTGTAGCTGTACTAGCCCTCATGGCCCCTACCCCAGTGACCCTACTGGGATCCTTTAAGGACCGAGCTCTGGTCTCATCTCCTCCCCAGTCTCTCTCTGAGCACGGTCAGGTAGTGAGGGAGAGCAGAGCCTGTTGGATCCACCTTAAGGGGCACTCTGAGCAGCACTGGACATGTGTGAAGTGCTTAGTGCAGAGCCTGGCACACCCTGGGCATTGAGAAACACAGGAGCTGCTTCTGCTGCGGTGACTAGTACTTACACAGTCACTTCTGTCCTTCCTGGACCCCTGGCCTGACCCCAGCCAGGTCTCACAGGTTGGCTTGTGACAGTGTGTCATGTGGTTTCTTACTACTGCATTGACTCTAAAGCTTCACTGGGCAGTTGTAGGTGCTGTCACTGTCCCTTGCTCAAGGACCCACTTCTGGGAAGCAACAAGCTGTGATGTTCCTGATACAGGGCCTSCACTTCACAGTCTCTTAACTGCCCTGGTGCTCTTCCACCTGCTGGGATACACGGCTCAGAAACTGGGTTGATTGCCCTTTGTTCCCACTGACCCCCACTCTTCATCCTTCCTGTGACCCTGGCTCTGGTCTAGCTCAAATGCTGTTCCTTCCATGAGGTCTCACTGGACTTTCTTCCTGATGTTGYCACGTTGTGTGTGTCTCCACTGGCACATTCACCATGGTTACTTGACCTGTTTGGCTCTGCTATAGATTATAAGCTCCTGGAAGGAGGAGACCTCCTAYTGGGAGGGTGCTTTCTATCTTCCCTGGCTCTGACCTTTTGTCCTTGTGTTGTCCCTTTGCTCTTGTTTAAGCATCCCGCACCCCACCTGATGATACAGAATGAGGGCCCCTGGGTGTTCTGGGAACTGGAAATGGTTGCCCATCTGACTGGTTCAGTAGGCCGTTGCTCTCTAGTCTGTTTTCATGTCACATGGGCTTCAAAATAAAAGATGTAGCTGCTTGTGTAACTCCTTCCAGTCTGCTACTTGCTTACCGTCTTGATCATGGTGAATGGAGGTGCCMGAGTATTGCTTTTGAAGCATACTGAACAGGTTCCAGAGAGCAGGGGGCTGTGAGAGATTGAAAGCAGAGAGGCTGTGTGGAGTGGAGATGAGCTCCAAACAGACCCACGTGAAAAACCATTTTCACACCCTTTGGAGTTAGCAAAATAAAAGCATAGGCCTCAATTTAGGACCATGGCTAAGTTTTTCTCCATCAGGACTGGCCACCAAAGGTAGGATTTCTCCCAGGCTGTCCACTGCCCTGCAAGTCCTGCACAAAGGATAGGAAAAGCTAGAGGGAGCGCAGGTTGGAACTCACTGCTCCCAGCCCTGACCTGTTCCCTGCAGGCTCTGGGTAGGAACTTTGGATATTTAATGAAATTGACTCCATTTCCCTGAAACAGCCTGCAGGGGCTGGCTCRGGGCTCTGTGAGCCAGATGTTTCCAGCACTCAGGTGCACGATGGGTTTCCTCAGTAGCCAGCTGTGTTCTACTCATTCTTTCTTAATGAGGCGCCCTGATCTGAGGCTTGCCACACCCCACACACTTGAGATACATTTAACCAGCCAAGGGAAGCTGCTTGAACTTGTGCACTACATGTATAGCCTACTCTGGTCTCTCTTGAACACGATTTGAATTTCACTTTAAAGAAACTTCCCTTTTGTGTGTGTATTTGTTTTTCAAGCAGCTGCACCACAGCTATCATCAAAGGAAGAAAGTAATTTAGCTCTGAGCAAACTCACTCCAATTATCCATAATAATTCATAGGAGACATTTTTAAGCTGACAGAATGCTGGATGTAGGCATTTCTTTTCTATCCCCCTATAAGTTTTTCCACTCATCTATTATATCTATTTTTTCCCCCAAAGATATCAGAGCTTGAAGAAGGATATAATTAAAGTCAGGGAAAGGCGGGGGAGCTAAAGAGTCTCAATCAAATGGGGTGTTGTGAGGGGTCGTGGATATGTTGGGGATGGGAGGATGAGGCGTCAGGAAACTGGGGACCCAGACTCACCCTGATGGAGTATTGCAGGCTTGCAGATGGCTGCCCTTGGGAATCTCCCTTTGAGTCTGTAGTTCTTTCTTTTTTATTTCATTCTTTCGAACCCACTTTCTTAAGAGCCGGTCCCTTCTTTTTGGTATTTCAGAAGGAGGAAAATTCACTATTGGAAAACATCTTTGTGTTTTAAGAATCAGTCAAGACAGTCAGTCTTTCCCTSTGCTTAACTTGCTACCACCGTGGTTGCTCACCCCACCTCTGGGGGGTGAGGAGGATTATGGCTTCCCTCTAGTCCCCCAAGGTCATTGGTAATGGAGCAAGTCCAGCCCCTGTGGCAGTGGGTGGAGGGGTGTGAGGGCCCTCAGTTCTTTCCTACAGAGAAACTTGCCGTGAAAGGGAGCCAGGCTCACCCTCTTGGAGGGGACCCCAGCTCTGGATGGCTGTTAGGGAAAAATGGCATGTGGGAGGAAGCCAGGCTTTCTCCTCGTCTCTCCTCTCCCTGTGTTTGCAGTTCTGTGTGAAAGCAGACATTTCTGGTTGCCAGCTTTGGCAGGAGAAGCTGAATTCTATCAGTACTCACCAGTCATGCCAGAAGTGACTAAGGCAACAACCATTCTGATTTTTTGAAATTGCCTAATTTGTAGGTCTTTATTTCTTTAAGCCTTAGAAAATGTGTGTGTGCACATGCGTGTGGGGGTGGTAGGAGTGGGGGTGGAAAATTRTTATTATATAAAATGTGCCATTTTAACCATTTTAAGCACACAGTTCAGTAACATTAAGTACCCTCACTGTGTTGGGTGGCTGTCACYGCCATCCGTCTCCAGCAAAGACTCACATCCCTCCAACCAATGATTCCCCGTCCTCCCCGCCCCCATCACATCTATTGTGCTTCCTGTCTCTCTGATGTATGTGTTTTTAATTTAGCAGGATGTTCGTTTCCATTCCAAATACTTCACAGAAGAGCTAAGAAGAATTTTTATAGAGGACACTGACTCAGAGAATGAAGACTTCGAAGGATTTACCCAGAATGATCTGAACGTAAACAGTAACCCAGAAGTAATGGTAATGATTATCAACACATAGGATTGTGGGCAGTAAAAATTTTAGTCCTGTGTCTGAATTATAGCTTTAAATTTGTAAGTAGTCACTTCGCAAATGAAGAGATTTCATTTTTTTCTTATATTTGTTTCATAAGTCAATTAACATAATACAAGAATTGCTGCTGTAAGGCTAATCTCCTGTCCACTGGTCTGTTCCTTTCTTAGAAAAATCCGTTTGTCTTCCCTTTGGGATTCTGGGGATGTATCCCAGGTATCCTTTATTATCCTTACCAGTTTATCTCAGATTTTTTGAGCTGCTTTTACCTTTTCAGTCTGTGTTGGGGTAACAGTTTCCTTCCAGCCTTTCTGGTTGTATGTGAAGTAACATTCTTAGATTTGAAATGCAGCCGTGGTGTAGATTGGGATTTCCCTGTGCATGTTGATTTCAGGAACCCAGCATGGTTTTGAACCTTAAAGGTGATCCTTGTTCCTCCTGGACTCCTGGGGAAATCTCTCAGCCCTTCACCATTAAAATTTCTTCCTTTTACTCTGCATATTGTGTTTAGTTTTCTGCCAACTAATGTTTGAATTCTAAGATAACATCGAAGCCCAACCTTTGGACTTTCTTTTTTTCTGTAAGTATTTTTATTGGGGAATAATTTCATTTATAAAATTAAAAAGATAGTACAGAGAGTCCCTATATGTATTTGACCTATTTCCCCATATGTAATCATGATATAGTYGTCAAAACTGAGAAATTAATGTGTTATTAAGTAAATTCTAGACTTTATTGAAATTTTACCAGTTTTTCTGGTAAAGTTCTCTTTCTATATCTTGAGTTCCAATCCAAAAATACATTACATTTATTTACCCTTCCATTTTTTTTTAAAACAATTCAAGTTGAATTTATGTTATTAACTGACACATTAAAAACATGACAATTGTATGGATTTTTTTTTTTAAGTGCAAAAATGTTTTCTATCAACTGAAAAACAGCATAGGTTAATCCAGAAAGTAAACAAACATTTCCTCCTTTGTGATCAAGGTGAAGATAGTTTAAGCCTGTTCCTTTGGTGGCTCCTAAAGAACAACTTTTGGCACAGAACCAGTGTGGAAGTATAAATAAGCTGTGRCTGCCAGGCTGGCTTTGTCCCTCCCCTTCCATGGGGAGAGCTGAGGCCATGGAACAGGGTGCCCTGGTGGTAGGTGGTCTCATTAGGTGGTGGCTTTTTCCTGTGAATAGCAACACAGAGCCAACCTGGAGGTTCAGCTCTGCTCTAGCTTTCTTTACAGAAGCTGGCTGTGTGGCAGTTTGTGGGTTTTGTCCAGCAGGTCCCCAGTTTCTTGCCAGTAAGACACTACAATTCTTGCCAACCTTAATGGGTATCTTCTGTTCTTGAGCTAAGTGATGTCTAGTCAGTTGAAGAATCTGTATTTCTTATAGTGAGGAAAAGTGGATTATCCCAAGTCTTTCCCCACTTAGACTATACACATTTAGGGTATTAGTTGGGAGTATCATGTAGAGTAGATTATAACTCATAAGGTCTACCTGCAAATTTTCTTTTCAAATTTTGGTGAGAAATTTCGATGTTATTAGTTTTTTTTTTTTTTTTTTGCCATGACAAAATACCTGAGATAATCAATGTATACGGAGAAATGGGTTGTTTTGGTTCACGATTTTGAGGTTTCCAGCCCGTGATTGGTTAGTCCTGTGACCTTGAGCCTGTGGTRAAGAATCACATCACAGTGGGAATGCATGTTAGAGCAAAAATACTTACCTCATGGTCGGGAAGCCAAAAGAGCCAGGAAGAGACTTGGGTCCTTTACCAGCACGGTCTCCTCCCCCATGATCTAAAGACCTCTCACTAAGCACCTTCTAAAGGCTCCATGACCTCCCAGTGTTCCCACCCTGGGGACCAAGCCTTCACACGTGAACTTTTGAGGGGATCCAGACTATACCACAAGCACTGCTGCCTCCCAGCCCCACCTCCTGTCTGTGCTCAGGAGAACTGGCCAGATTGTCCTTTCTGATAGGTCCTGCCACAGTCTCSTTTCCTAGTGGTCTGCAGGCCAGGTGCAGAACAATCATAGCCATGGCGCCGACCTTTGCTCTTGTCCTTGGGCCTGTTTCTGTGCTTGTGTTGACTGTGCGTTTTCCTCACCTCGTTCTCTACTGTGCTTCTCCACATCCTTWGTCAGGAGAGGCAAAGCCGATGATGAGTGTGAGAAAAATAGAGCAGGTCCCAGTTCTCCCTGAATTCTGAAGCTACTAGTGTGGAAAGTTTAGGATACTTAAAAAAATAAAAAATAGATCAGTCAACATGGTGCAGTCTTAGTTCTCTACTTAGTTCTCTACTGGGTGGATGGGTACACTACAGTTGGAAGTTTTCTGCATATTTTTTCTTCCTTTCACATTTCTATCTTGAGTCCACCTAGAATTTTAAGAGTCCCTGGGGAGGAGGCAGAGTCACTGGATTGGGTCCTGGTCCATTCCATTGCCTCTTTGCTCATGGTGGCCTATCTTCAGCATTCACTGCTAGCCATTCCCAGGCTGCTTTATCATGTGTGGTCAAGAAAAGATGCCTATATGATGTCCTTGGTCTCTAGTATTTAACCCCCTCCACCATTGCTCAGAGTCCCTATTRCATCTCGGATGTCACCCAACTATCACCTGTGATGTTACCGCCTTCTCACTTGCAAGACCAAGTGAGCTTRTCACGCTGAGGACCTATACTGCATGGGGTTTGAAAATTTGGGGTGAGAGTTTTCTGGAGCCCACTGAACAGGAGCTCTGCATAAGCCTGTAGAGCTGTCAGACTTGATGTCACTCTGTGGTTCTGAAGTTTATAGAGAGGAGAGGGAGCTCCCTTGATGGAGAGCCCTGTCTGCCCTGAGGATGACAGCTCGCCCCCCACCCCCCACCATTGGCAGGTCCTCTGCCTGTTCCTTGGTCACTTCACCAGGGTGAAGTCTGCTTTCCTTTCCCTCCACTCTTGAGTTCAGTTCCTGCTATTTAGAGCAGATAAGTATTTTTCCCCACCGCATGCCATTTTTATCTGAAGATAACTCTGGTCACGCACACCTCATAGTCCTCATTTTACTTGACTTCCTGATGCACCCCTTGGTTGCTCATGTGGCAGAGCACCACTGTGTCAGTGTATTGCTTACAGCCTGACTGATGGAACTCAGCATGTGGGTGGGCATAACCTGTGCAGGGTTCAGTGGGAAATTACTTATGCTTTGAGTTTATTTCCCCGACAAACTTCATGTGTGCTTTAAGTGAAGAGTTCAAAGGGATCTAGCAATAGGAAGGGGAAGCTTTTCATTACTTTCCTTTCTAAAATAATGTCTGGGTGGTTTTAAAGGAGTAGGGTTTTTTGTTTGTTTTTTGATAGAGTAGATTATAACTCATGGCTCAGCATAGGGTTATAGTGGTATAGTGTCTTTGTTCTTTTATTAGCTCGTGGAGTCAGATTCAAGTGATGACGGCAAAGCATCCTTGGTGAGTGAGAAAGAAGAAGAGGAAGAGGAAGAAAAGGCTACACCTAGAAGAGGCAGGTCTCGGAGAAGCAGTATTGGCCTACGAGTAGCCTTGCAGTTCCCAACCAAGAAATTGGCAAAAACATCAGATAAAAATAGTTCTTCCGAGCTGTTGTTTTCCAGCTCACATTTACAGGATAGTAAAAAAAATCTAGGAAGAAATAAAAGCTGTAAACAGGCAAAGGAAACGGAAGATTCTGCCTCTGAGTCTGAGGATGACTCCCGGGACGAGAACCAGGAGAGCTCAGATGCTCTGCTGAAGAGGACCATGAACATCAAGGAGAACAAGGCCATGGTGAGACTCCCACAGGAGGTGCCAGGAGTAGGCTGGGCTCTGATGGCAGGTGCTGAGGCTCACAGGTGACTCTGCCCCTTCAGCTCCTGCCACCTTGGCTTCTGTCAGGGGGGTGTACTCTGAGGAGTGTGTATCTATTTTCTTTTCCTGAACCCAAAGTTGTTATTACATGATCAGCTCTGGTTTCAGAACAGAAAGAGACCTCTGGGACCATTTACAGGTCCTACAGGGAACCCTACAAGCTTCCTGATTGTCAGGTTGAGTTCTGAATCAGGAGTACTGGGGAGGAGAGGGGCCAAGCAACTGCAGAAAGAAGCAAAGAAGCTGTCACCGAGTGTGTAAGAGTTGTGGGCAGGACAGGCAGGCGGCTTCTGCCTGGAAACTGCCCCCCTGGGAGACATTTCTGAAGGTCTGCCTGGAAACTGCCCCCCTGGGAGACATTTCTGAAGGAATGGGAAAAGGTCTAGGGATTAGAACAACCTCAGGGGCTAAATTCACTTTTAAATGTCTTTATTAGAATAGTTAGTAGAACAAGGTGAAATCCTTGATGTGCATTTATTTTTTTTCTAAATGGGGTCAATAACTTAATGTGATCATTGTTGAAAATCATTGTTCTATAATTTTGACAGATTTTAAAAATTTTTTCTAGTTGTAGTTGGGCACAATACATTTATTATTTATGTATTTATTTTATTTATTGTGATGCTAAGGCTCGAACCCAGTGCTCACACATTCTAGGTGAGCATTGTATTGCTAAGCCACAAACCCAGCCCTTGTATTGACAGAATTTTAAGAAATAATCTTACCACTTAATCACTTATTTTGGAATATTTTTTCCTCTGTGCTTTTTTTGGGGGGTGAGTGGTACTGGGGATTGAACTTAGAGGCATTCAATCAATGAGCCACATCCCCAGCCCTATTTTGTATTTTATTTAGAGACAGTGTCTCACTGAGTTGCTTAGCACCTTGCTTTTGCTGAGGCTGGCTTTGAACTCAYGCTCCTGCTGCCTCAGCTTCCTGAGCCACTGGGATCACAGGCATGTGCCACTGTGCCCGGCTCTCTATCCTTTTTTTTTTTAAAAGGGGAACTATTAATGTAATCATGTCAATAATGTAATCATGTAATCAATACATTACTTCAAAAAATTAAAAGCCCGCTTATGGGCGATTTATATTCTAAGGCACATTTGGCTTTGATTAATGGAAATTTTTAATTCAGTGTCATCTGCATCTTCAGTAAGAACTATGTTCTATATGATTTTAGAGTGGTACCAAGTCTAAAACTAAATTCTATTTGAATTCTCTGATTGGCATATTAGTACTTTTTGCTTGGTGTTAGTCGATGTTCATTTGGAGAAGTCTTCAGAAATTGTTTCTGTTGCCAAGAAATTTACCTAAAAGTATCAGATTTGGGGGGCTCTCTTAGAATCACCTAGTTGAGCCAGTTGGGTTTTGGTCATGTTGGAACTGAGAGAGATTCAGGCGTGCAAAACGATTTGTCCCAGTTTTGCACAGCTAATTACTGGCCAGGAACCTTGTGCCTGAGGCTCTGGACGTTCCAGGACTGTTGTCCTTGTGTCCCATCCTTGTGTTCATGCGGATGAATGGTATTGTCAGCTTCTCATCTCTGGAGATAAAACCTCGACACGTGAGGTGATGTGATGTGACTCTTGAGGCTTGTATAAGCTATTTARTAGCAAAATCAAAGGCTTGCTAGAGGTGTAGGATGACACAGACCTGTGTTTTAGTCAGCTTTTTTGCTWTTCTAACTAAAATACCTGACCAGCATAAGTGTAGAGGAGGAAAATTTATTTAGGTACTCCCAGTTTCAGAGGTCTCAAAGCATAGACAGTGGGCTGTATTCCTTGAGAGAGAGAGAGAGAGAGAGAGAGAGAGACAGACAGACAGACAGACAGACAGACACATACACACACACATACTCCACTTGCCAGATACAAATATATACCCCAGAGCCCTGCCTCCAGTGCCCCACCTGCCTTCAGTTACCAACTCAGTTAATCCCRTCAGRTGACTAATGGACTAATTGGAGTTAAGGCTTTCATGACCCAGTCATTTTTCCTCTAAACCTTCTCCCATGTTTTTTTGGGGACACCTCAYGTCCAAACCATAACATTTTGCCCTTGCTTCCCAAAAGCTCCTGATCATCTCACAATACATTTAGTSCATCTCCAAGAGTCCCCATAGTCTCATCAGTTCAAGGATTGCTGAGCTGTTGGGGGACACTCCATATTCTAAACCATAACATTCTGGCAGTAATGATTCATGTAAGATGCTTTCTTCTGTTCTTCAGCTTGCTCAGTTATTGGCAGAATTGAACTCAATGCCAGGTTTATTCCCAGTACGAACGCCAGCCTCAGCTTCGGTAAGTGAAACTCCTTAAAATTATTCTCACCATTGCTGATGTTTAATAATTGGTTGTCCAGTGGCTTTTATTCAAGAGAGCACTCAAGTGCATGTCTGTGGTTTTTGGTTTCAGAAGAAGAAAACAGTGCGTCGGGCCTTCTCAGAGGGACAGATCATCCGGCGCACAAACCCAACCCGAAGTGCGCGGCCCCCAGAGAAGTTTGCTCTAGAAAACTTTACCATCTCTGCCACCAAATTTGCTGAAGAGTTTTATACAATCAGAAGGAGGAAGACGACTAGTGGGGTATTTTCTGACTGTAATAACTGAATTATTGTGTAAGCCATTGGTCCTCAAACGTGATGCATCTTGTTAAACCAGGCCTGTTTACAGGTAGTTTCTGGCTCAGGAGGTCTGCAGCAGCTAAGATCTTTAATTTCCAAGTTCCCTGGTGATGCTTATGCCCCTGAGACCACAGTTTGAGAAGGCCCCTGCTTTAAACTATAGGTTGCATTGACAGTCCTTTATCCAAACTGAGCTGGGAAGCAGCTCATTGGTTACTGCTCATGAAGTGGGTTGAACTTGATATCTAGCAGAAGCAGGAAAAGCCTGTGAACAGCTCCAGCTAGCCTTGTGCTTTTATGTGTGGGAAAGTCCAGGGATGGTTCCTTGTGAGTGACTTTGGTCTGGAGGGTGGAACTTTAGAGCCTTCTACTTTGTGGGTTTAACTGTTCAATGAGTTTCATTTCCCTGTCTCCAAAAAATTTTCAGCAGAAAATTGAGCCCAGTGAATAACTACATGGACRACAGGGTTCCCAGGAAATAGAGAAGGGACATGATCAATGTTAAGATTCTTAATCTGTTTGAAATGGCTTAACATATCTTATTCCAGTTTCTGTCCTTTTGCAGGGGAAATCCCAGGGGCATAGACGACGTCGCCGTATATCTTCTTTTCGACCAGTGGAGGATATTACTGAACAGGACTTGGACAATGTTGCCATAACTGTGCGAGATAAAATCTATGAYAAAGTTTTGGTAAATTATATTTTATGAATAATTTTTATGACTGTGATTGAGAGTCCAGGGCATTGGTATTTGAACGCCTATGTTGTTTTTAGACTGTATCGGGACTCATACCCTTGTGCCATCTCCTTGTGGCTCAGAACCTGGCTCTAAATTGTAGGGTCTTGGTCAGCCATCATTGGGAAAAGAAAGACGACTTAGTGCAGTGACCCTCATCAGGAGAGGTGGGTTACTGAGACATGCATATAATCTGGGGGGAAGCAGCGATAATAGTTTAGAAAAGCATAAAATCATATTTACRTGTAATTGTTAACATTTTTATTACTTACATAGTAGTGTATCTTAAATGTTGAAAAAGATAGTGTTATGGGGGATAATATAGTCATAGAAAATTTTGGGAGGAAATTGAATTTTTTTTATATGGTGATTTAAAGAGGGGCTTTGTTATKTATCTTTTTTTTTTTTTTTGGATAAGTAATTTAAGGTAGTATTTAAATGTTTTTTATTGAATTACCAACATTTTAAAATTAGGAGATTTTACCCTGTAGGTATTCAGGGCTTCAGCCAAATTGTTGCTGCTTGGGGCCTGTCACCACTGTACCAGTTGCCTCAAGCTTGCCTCTGCTCCTGTCCACTGTTTCATTCTTTCTGGGGGSTCCCTGCTCAGTCTCGTCTGCTCTGTTGTGTTTCTGTGACCCGAGAATCAAAGTGCCCACTATCTGGTGGAAGCCTCCAGGGTTTGTCCTAGGGACTGTGGGAGAGGGGCAGTACTGGCATCTCTTCTCATGGCCCTAGCTCTTGCTCCCTGTGCTCATTCTCACCCTCCCCCGCTCCCCAGGGTAACACGTGCCATCAGTGTCGGCAGAAGACCATTGACACCAAGACAGTGTGTCGGAACCAGAGCTGTGGTGGGGTGCGGGGACAGTTCTGTGGTCCGTGCCTGCGGAATCGCTATGGGGAGGACGTGAGATCGGCATTGCTGGACCCGGTAGGAAGTGTGTTTGCTTTTAAGTCGCTTTGGGGAAGGGAAATGAGCCCAAGGTGGGGGACCTGGAAGAGCTCTTTCTACTTTCCTCCTACATTTTAAGACTGGGGGGGATGAAAAATAGCATTTTCTTCTGGAAAGAGAATGAGCAGGCCAATGGAGAAGAAGAGTTTTTATCAGGTTTTTTAGTGTCTGAGCGGGATTTTCTTAGAGTTGTTTTCATACAAGTTAACCCTGTGCCTCTCCTCCAACAGAGATCTTTGATTTTTTTTTTTTTTTTTTTTGCAGGCCAGGGGGTGTGTGTGTTATAGTACAATGTTTCCTGTGTACCTAGCACTGTTATTTTTCTTTCAGTTGTTATTGTTTTCTCTTATGAAGTGGGTAAACCTGCCTATGCTTTGTTCCCTTTGTGAAATAAGGTAATGCTCAGACCTAAGTAGTCTTGGTCTGTGTGCYTAACCTTCAGCTTGTGACTTGAAAGGKGTATATAGAGTGTGCCCAGTTTATTAGACTATACAAGTTAAGTGATTTCAAAATAAGTACACCTATTGGGAGAATTGGAATTCATATCTTGATTTTTGTAAACCCCATGCTCTTACAGTCAGGGCCAATTGGTATGAGGGTCCTGCACTTGCTTCTTGAAGAGCAGGGGTGCCCACCAATCATATGTCGGTTTTAGACAAGACCAGCTACATATCTCATTGTTTCTCTGATGTGGGGTGGTCAGCCTTTCTGGGCGACAGTGACACCCTGCTAAAGATAGASACTCAGCTCAGACTCAATGAGCTCCTATATCCCATGGGAAATTGCTGCCATCATCTCTTTTAGGATTGGATGTGTCCTCCCTGCCGTGGGATCTGCAATTGCAGTTATTGTCGAAAGCGTGATGGCCGCTGTGCCACGGGGATCCTCATTCATCTGGCCAAGTTTTATGGTTATGATAATGTTAAGGAATATCTGGAGAGGTAAGTCTACTAGTTCAGAAATGGCGGTTGTGATCCTGGGGCCCAGCAATGCAGAGCCTCTAGGCAAGGAGCTGTTGCCATGTTTCCTGGCTGATTTATAGAAACCACCTTGAGTGCTGTCCAGCCTGCCTCCGTGTGGGAGAAGCTCAGGCTTATTATTTGTGCTTCCTTTGTTAGAATCTTCAACTCTTCATTGCCTCTAGCCAGAATTTTCCCTTGTGAAAAACAGAAGGACAGGCTGAGAGGGAGCTGTAAGGACAGTAAGAGGCAGCCATAACTCTAGTGAGCACAGAGGTCCCGCAGGACCTGGGAAGAGGACACAGAATTGTTACCTACAAGTTGGAATATGGGAGTCACTGGGGGCGATCAGGACACACAATTATTCTGGAAGTGGCAGGAGATTAGGGTTTTAAAAATCTCCCTAGAATGCTGCTTTCTGTTCACCTTTAACGGCTACTTATCATCTTTTTCTCAGCTTACAAAAGCAGCTGGTGGAAGACAATTGAGAGGAACCTGCGAAGTCAGCATGGGGTACCCCCAACAAGAAGTGCATACCATTTGTGCCTAAGATTTCTTACAGTTGTTTTTATACAAAATTTCTTATAGAGTTGATGAATACTATTTTTTTAAAAATGTTTATGCTTAAGATTTCTCAGGAACATAGCAGAGGAATCTGTATGTGTGTGTATATATATACACACACACAAGCCCTGTGTGGTATCTGCTGATGATTCAAAAGCACAATTCAAATGGGGCAGAGTTAAAAATTTAGGTAAGTTACAGAAAAGACACATAGAAGCAGCCTTTAACTTCCCKGTCACTCTAGGCTATTTTTACAGGACTTGTTTTTCTTGTAGTTTGCCTTACCTTGAGTGACCATAGCTCAAACGGTAATAATTTATCCTCCTCTAGATTGCTGGAAATTTGTACTGAAGATTGTTCCCCAAAATTACAAAGTGCAATTAATCATGGAACGCGAGTGAACCTAGGGTTTTGTGGACTGTCAGGTTACAGACACTAGAGGTCTCACAGTGCCTGCTGCTTTTCAAAGAACTTAAGGGCTAATTTTTAAAAGATTTTCATATTTGATAATAACTGAATCCCCCTTCCTTCAGCTGCACGTCTGTTTGGTGAAAATGTGACAAACTGTTTTGTGCAAGTTGAGGAAGGGGGCTTCAGGAGGTACTGAGGAAAGCTAAAATCAGTGAACATAGAGACTGAACAGGTGTCTGGTTTTTTTTTTGTACATTTGCTTTTTTTTTAAGGATAGTATTTTAAAAATGAATGCATGTGTAAGTTACTAAAAGTTACATAAGTTGGAATGTATTTTATGCCTTTCAGTAGAAAAAAAAAGTATACATGCATAATAAGAACAGAGACAAAATGAAAAGTTCTCACTGTTTTCCAGCCGAGGAACATTAAGTCCCAGTGCAAGGACCGTCTTACGCTTCTAGCAACAGAGCCACACCTGCCAACACCCATTTAGCCGTCTTCTCTTTGCTCTTTAATCTGAAAGTCCAAACGTAGGTGGGACCTCTGGTTTTGGTTTTGTACACAGGGCACGCGTAAGTGTGTTTGGTTTCTTGTCTGTCCGCGGGTATGGCTTTGGCAAAGATGACAGGCATCATGGACTTCAACTCCTTGAGGCGAGCTTCAACAATGGTTCCTGACTGGGGGTCCCATCGGGCACCTGTGGCAAAAACACAACTGTTGCAACAGTATGGCATGTTGATAGTGATTGTTGGATGCAATAAATGTTCTGGTTTTGTCATGTTTCTGCTCATCAGTAACATCATAACCTAGCAGCTGAGATTTGAAACAGAAGTTAACTTAACCGGCATAGGTAATGGTTCCCAATAGCTGAACAATAAAATCATAATCAGTTTGTCCTCCCTTAAGAGTTACATCATCTTCTCAGCCTTTAAATATTTGAACTGTGGCATTTGCTTTAAAATGCAGAAGGAATACCTTGACAGGGACTAAATGTCCCACAAACATAGGGCCAAGTAAATCACATCCTAGTCCTCCTCAGAGGTACACAATGGCATCTTAAAGGTTGGGAGAAGTCTTGATAGTTTTGCCAGCAATTTTAAGACAGTAGAAGATTTTGAATTGATTATACTCAAAGCAGAATAATGTAACTTCATTGTAGCTCTTGAGTATCCTGGGGGCATTAACACCCATGTCTCAATTTGGTTCACACGAGGTAAATGATAGCCACTTGTATGAAGTTAAGTGAGTGGATCCTGAGACAATCCCCAACTTGAACCTGGAGAGTTTTCACTCACACTGGGGGTGCCTCACCTTCCATGAAGAGCCCGTGGAGGTATGCACCTTCCCTTGGGGGATGGCTGTAATCTTCCTTTGTTTTTTTGGTGATATCAACAGTTAAGCACATTCTGTCCAGTGGCCACTCATTTTTTCGAGCCATAGTCTGCATAATTGCTTTCGGAGGAGAAGGAACAGGAATTGATTAGGGTAAAAGTATGAATAGGTTCCCAGAAGCTACCAGTAAGCCAAGGCAGTCTTTAGTGCCACAGGGTGGTTTTTAGCTTCTGGGCATTTATTTGCACATGGCTGCCATAGAGCAGGGCCTGCCTGGCAAACGAAGGCATACAGTACAGCGTATTTGTAAATCACATTTTATTGGAGCAGCCATTTGCTTCTGTAATGTCCGTCTGTGGTTGCTTTTACAAACTAGAATGGCGGAGTGGAGAAGTTGTGATAGACCTGTGGCCCTTGACTTGAGCTCACTGTACCTGCCTCCAGGGCCCCTTTATTTTCTTCCTAGTCACTCCTACTCCTTCTAATGACTGCTCCTTGAAGATTAGCAAACAGGGAGGATGCATCATAGATCAAGCAAGGCAGGACTTCTGCTCTTACCAGTTAAGAAGGACTGAGGATTAAAGAAGCCAGAGAGCCACACGACRGCTGGAAGGGCTAGGTCTTGGGTCCACATGTCAAGCTCTCGGCAGCGCAGAAGAAAGTCATTAAACCTAGTTAGTGGAAGGTAAGCAGAAATAAACTTGCTTTTTAGTAAAAACAGATTGTCTTCCAGTAAGATTCTGGCAGAAAGGGTTGGGGAGGAGTGGTGGTGGTAAAGTACACCATTGACAGCTAGTAAAATGCTTACCTGATGATTTTTGGGGTGTTGTCTCTTTAAAGAACGACGGTGTTTCCTATTGAGATTTTACACCTGCACCTCTTAGAGTTAATACCACTAGAGGGGAATATGGAACATCCCTCTGTATTTATTAATCTACTTAGATCCTCCTAGTGCTATATGGTGACTATTTATATAGGTCATCCCACATATGTTGGWCTGACAAGTGCCAACAGGAGGTACGGGACTCGGAACCCAGCGAAGAACACCTTGTCAAGGATGGAAGAAGGCTGCTATGGTGGGTCTAAGGCTGGAGTTGGCAGCAAAGAATAGAGGGAACAGTGTGTGACGGTATTCTTCCCACCTGATGATCACCTGAAAGGGGAAGGTAAAGGTTGCTACAGGGCGGGGGGGACCTGCCAACTATGGCACATTTGAGAACATTCTTGTCTGTATTACATGTTCTCTCATTTAGTCCACACAGTTATGCAAGGTAAGAAGTACCTAGCCACGAGGAAGCTGGCTCAAAGGGGCTAAAGAGACCTTGAGATAAGGTTTAAGGGCCATTAAAAAGGGGTAAAGGGTGAAACACAGAGATGAGCCTCGACATAAAAGCCAGCAAAGTAGTTGTCCAGCATCATGGACACTGGGCTGGCATTGACGTTTTCTAGGACCTTGTAAGGTCAAGAGTCACACAGGAATTGGGTTGAGTGAGGAGTCACCCCCAGACCTCCATGGCAGGGACATCKGCCTGAGGCATTTGGCTGATTCTAGGCTGTGATGAGGAAGACTTAAGGGTTTACCTTCAAATATGGGCACCACAAAGGAAGATTCTTGCTGAGAACATGGGTCTGTGCCTGGCCCCTCATTAAAGTTTTTTCAAATAGCTGATTTAGGAAAAATGTACTTAAAGATAATACAGAGGAATAGCACTGGCTCTGTACAAAGACAACGCAGAGGGACAGAGAACAAAAACCAGGGCAGAAGTCGTCAGTCACCTTAGTGTGGAGAAACTGCAGCCAGTTTTCAACAAAATTAGAAAATGAAGTGATTGCTTATATAAATAAGATTATGACTTGGAAGGGAGCAGACAAGGAAAAGTAATGAAATTGGATTGGATACAAGATAAAACTTAAATGAAATTGAAACAAATATGAAAGGAAAAATTAGGGTTAAAGCAAAAATAACAGTAGAAACAAAGCCCTATGTAATAGGGATTCTATAAAGTGAGTTTCCCAAATTGTAAATTTGAATCTTCAAAATCATACTTAGAAAATAGTAAGACAATTATTGAGTGACCTGTGAAGATTAAAAAAAAAAAACCAAACAAACCACTGGGAAGCCAGAGGAAAACATAAAGCCATTTATAAAAGGAAAAAACAATGCCAGCCTCAGACATCTCTACAGCTGGTACAACAGGGGTGCCTCCCAAGTCCTAAAAATGTGAAATATATATAACCAGCCATAGTGTCATTCAGGTATGAAGACAGACAGTTATAAACAACCACAGTAAATGCAACATCAGGAAGGTTCCTAACAGGAAATAACAAAGATGAGTCTTCAAAAAATAATGGAATTTAAATAATTCAGTCAAGGGAAGAAAACAGTGTGGAGATGGTTAAAGAGATAATGAGGATCACCTGGAAACAATTAAATCCACCAAAACAGCAGACATAGACTGGGAGTTTGAATGAATATAGATAATGAGAGCAAAAGGCAACAGGGAAATATGCATAGAGAAATTTTCACAATGGAAACTATAAATGGACTCTCATATTTGTAAGCACACAGCAGCAAGTTGGATGCAGATTTAAAAGCATTCCAAATTCAACAGTACACTTGAAGAACACCAAGGGTGATGAGAAACGTGTGAATGACAAGAATATATAGGAACAGGCTGATCACCTCCAATCTATACGAGGAAACAGAAAATTGAAGTTCTGGAGGGAAAAATAGTCATTGTGCCTTAGAATTCCAATCAAGTCGCCAAAGCCGGTTCAGATACACAAACAATGTGACACTCAAACCTCCACATGGTTTATGCCATAGTAAAAGAAAAGGGAGCTCTGACAAGATGAGAAAAGCATTGCTGAGCAAAGAACTGATCTACTGTTCAAGGAAAAAAAAAATTATTGAATATAAACAAAATGAAAATACTGTTGTCTAAAATAAGACCAGAAGGAGCCTGATGTTTGGAGGAACGTTTGACAGGTCTAAGGGAAAAATGCTGACTTGGAAGAATCCAGTGTATGTTTCAATGTCTCTACTGAAATAAGGGACTGGTACGTGGTTAAACTGTTAAACCAACAAGTCAGAAAAGGTTGGGGGAAAAGCTGTGAAAAATATAAAAAATTTCACAAAAGAACGGTGGGGAAAAGTCCACAGTTGTTAATCACAAGATGTAACCATATAAATCCTTATTTCTGGATATATAATACCTAATTTTGGGTGTTTCGCA